CCCCCCCCGCCCTTCTGAGGCTAATGCGGATGGGATATGCCTGACCTTTGAGGAGGACCTGGGGCTCCGCCCCCCACCCCAGTTTAGCCTTTAGTTCCTCTGGGGGTGGGAGAGTGAGGGCAGCCCACCTGGAGGGCCTGGGCATCGGGTTTGGCGGTTCTGCTCTGGATCCTCTTCCCAGCTTCCGAGCCAGAAAGAGGAGGGAAGAGGCCGCTCTGCCTGTCTGGGCTGGCAAAGTGCCCCAAGTTGCCACTAGGGGGCAGCATGACCCCATGACAGTCACTGCAGTTGCTTTGAGGCTACTCTCTGCATCCCTGGGGCGGGGGGGGGGGGGGGGGGGGGGGCATGGGCCAGCAGCTGCTTTTTGGGGCAGGGCAGAAACCCTCCCCCCACCTTCTCTTTCCACCAAGGTTGCTCAGCTCCTCTCTGCAAGACAGGCCTGGAGAGCCACAGGCTCCCTCAAAGAGGCTGCCCCCCCGCCCCCCCCCCCGCCCAACCATGGGCCGGTCCCTTCCACTCAGCCCAGCTACCTCAGAGGGTGGTTGTGGGGGAAATGGGAGGAGGGAGGGGGGGGGCTGCAGGCACGGAGAGAGAGAGAGAAACCTCAGCCAACAAATCCCCTCAGAATCTGCAGGCTGGCTGCCCTGGCTGCCAGGTTGGCCGAAAGGAGCCTCCCTCACCAACCTCCCAGTCACCAAGCGCAGCGCCTGCAGCCCCTTTCTTCTCTCCACCTTCTGCACGACGGTCATCCAGGCACGGCTCCCGGCTGCAAGCCTCGGACTGGCCTCGGCACAGGGTGGGAGGAAGGGCCTAAGGTCCCAGGCCGGGGGGTGGGGGAAGGGGGGGTGGACCCTGCTCTGGACCTCCTGGGGCCCAATTGGGGCCCAAATCCTGGGCCACAAGGAGTACCTGATCGCTGAGGCTGGGCATGAGCTGCACCTTGAGGAACCGGAAGGCGATGACCGGCAGGACGCAGAGACTCACACAGAGGCAGATGGAGAGCCACACCTTGGGCTGGTTGAGGATGTTCCGGGCGGTGCCTGGGAGGGGAGAGACGGGCAGCAGTTGCCCTGCTGGGCTGAGGCTCCCGTGCCTGGTCCCTGGGTCAGGTTTCTTCAGCCCAGCCCTGGGAACGTCACCCTCCCTGCCCCCGATCCCCTCCCCACTGGTAGCGCCGCTTCCCCCAGGGACGGCACTGAGGGGGATTCTTTGCAGCTTCTGAACCTACCGACAAAGGGGAAGGAGGAGGTGAATATCTGGTAGGTGCCGTCGCTGTACAAGGTGAAGGTGATGACAAAGTAGATGGCCAGGCTGCCCCAGAGGAAGAGCTGGTTCACAGCCGTCCAGTAGGCCGTGTCTAAGCCCATCTGCAAAAGGCAGCCTGGCTGACGTAGCAGTGGGAGCGGCAGCTGCTCTGTCTCGCTGACCCCCGCCACAAACTGGGGCTAGCCATCCTCACCCGCACCCCGCCCGCCCTAGAGCTGAATCTGCCAACGCGGCCCAAACGCTCCTCTGGGCAGCAGCCACAGGGGGTGCCGGCCTGTGCCCCCAGCCCTCCCTCCTTCAGCTGAGCAGCTCCCCCCGGACCACCCGGGGCTTCTTGCCAGGTTCCCGGTGTATTGGTGGAGCAGCTTTCCCAGACCTGAACCCCCACCCATTGTGCAGCCGAATGGCAACACAAGCCAACAAGGCTGGGTGCTACCCCTAAAACTGGACACCCGCTTTTGCTGAACTCATGAGCTGAGTGGGCTGTGTGGATGCGGAGGCAAAATCCTGGCTTCGGGATTTGGGCCCCTCCTCGGGAGAAAGAGCCTGGGGGGCCACTGAACTGGCGCGGTTGGTGAGGTGGAGCCCCCTACCTGGACCGACACCACGATGAGCAGACAGGTCTGGACCATGAGGGCGAAGGACTGATAATCCGCAACATTCCTCCCGTCGTTCCGCACAGAATCAAAAGTGGTTCCGTAAGGGACCAGGAAAAGCACCAGGGAGCTGTAGATGCTGTAGAGGATGCACTTGGCAAACTCCTTCTTGTTGAAGTACAGGTTCTGCTGGCCAGGGACGTAGAGCTGGGGAAACTGCAGGCTCCAGCGGTCATCCACGTCCTGGCAGCAGAGAGAGGGAGCTGGGGACCAAGGTGGCAGCTGCTGCCCCTGCAGGAGGCGTCCTAAGCCCCCGCCCCATCTTCCAAACCAAGTGGCCACGCTCGTTCCGGCAGGTTCTGGCTGGTTCGACTCCCAGAGAAAAGCTGTCCCGGGGCGAGCGATGGAGGTGGAGAAGCGCCCCCTGTGGGGGGCTCTGCTCTGGACCAGACCGTTGGGCTATGGGAAGGAGCTCTAGACTGCTTTGCCTGAGTTCCTGTTGCCGGATAGGACCCTGGGCGTTATTCTTTGGGGAACACAGAGTGCTGGTCTTAAAAGGTTCTTCGTGGAGTAAGGCTCCAGGTGGACTTGAACGGAGACTTTGGCCTTGATTCACTAATTAATGAAATAAGAATCCTTCCCCTGGGAAAAATTTGCTTCTCTAACGAATAAAATAATGGGTAGGATGGCTTTGAAGGCTGGTTGCTAGAGGGCACCGGAAGGCCACGAATGCATCGGTGGATCATTTGAGAGAAACGCAGGACTTCCCGGGCTCAGAAAATAACTTATAATCTGCTATGACCCATAAACTAGACTGTGTGGTGAAAGGGGACCCCACGAGGGAGCCTCCTTTTTTCTGTTGCTTCTCCTTCCGTGTCATGAACTGAATCCAAGGAAAGGCACCCCGAGCGAGTCTTACCTGGTCAAAGAGGCTCATTCCAAGCACTGGCAAACAGGTGTATACCATGTTGTAAAGGGTGATGAACCATTCGTCGTACACCGTCTGCAGGGGGAGAAGGGAGGCAGGGAAAGGGGGGAGGGCGTGAGACAGCAAAGCGGAAAGGCACCCAGCCTGCAACCGGGAGATCCGTGGATAGAGACGGGACGATGCCCATGTTCCCTTCCGAATTCCTGTTCCTTAGGTGTGGGGTTCTGCCTTTCTCTAGGAGGCTTATCGGTTATTAAACTTATATGACGCCCGTCTCACCTAGAGGTGACTCCGTATATCACGCTCTTCTCCCTATTCTAGGCTCAGGACAAGTCGCTGCATCCTGGTTGTGGGCCAGTATATTCTACACAGACTTCTCTGTAAATGAGCCACTGTTACGTTCACCTGCAAGGTTGTCTCTACAGCAGAGAACCTGGTCTGTCTTGGAACGGGCACACCTGCCAATCCTGCCACCGTATTTCCCTCCAGGAAATGCTAGTTGCCCTTTCGCTCTTTACTGAAAATAGGGTGCGAGAGCTTTGGTTGGCCAAAGCCACAACTGGGAGCAGAGGTCACAGTTCCAGGGGGCCACAGGTGACCATTTTGTGAAGGACCAGAGATGGAAGTCAGTGACGTGGAATGGAAGGGAAGAAAGCGACCGAGAGCATGAATGAATGAATGAAACAAGAGCAAGAGAAACCGTTCTCTGATAAATCTAAAATGGAGATGACGAAGAGGTGTAATAAATGGAGCCAAAGACAGAGGCTGATCTTTGGGTGGGGAGGAGATCCACGCGTGCAGGTAATGGAAAACTAGTTTTAACCGCCAGCCGAAGCGGCAGAATACGCAATACGTGCGAGTGGTTGGGACATTGAGAGGGAAGGATGGAGAATCAACACAGAAGATAAACTTGGAAGGAGGAACAAAAGGCTTGGGAAGAAAGCAGAACACAGCTTTTCTATAAGGTGGTGGTGGGGACAGGTCGGTCTGTCTGTCTGTCTGTCTGTCTGTGCACCTGTCACGCTTGTCAGCTTGTTGAAAGTGATTAGGTGAGGCTGGCTTGGCTAAGGGAAGCTCGGCTTATGACCGGTTGCTTAACTACCGTCAACTTACGGTGGACCTAGCCAGAGCTACTTATGACTTGTTTTCGAAGTTACCATAGCTACTCAGAGTTAACACGCCCCCCGCTGGTCATGGAATCATATTTTGGGTGCTTGGCAACCCTCCCACCTTTGTGATTGTATGTAGCGTTTGCACCTTCCCACCCCTCCCCCCTTAATGCTGGCATTTACTTTCCCAAACACCCATTTGGGAAAATCTGCTTAACGGCCACCATAAAATATGTTGAAAAATCAGGTATGGTCCTGTGATGCCTTGACTTATAACCACAATGACTTAGGCTCAATAATGGTTGTAAGTCAAGGGCTATCAGTACTCCTGTTAAAATTGCCTCCTCTCCACCAGCTACTTTCTCTCTCTCCCTCCTTCCCTCTCTCTCTGCAGAGCGTTGTGCGCTGTGCAAAGCCGGGCTGGGTGGTTCGTGTCCCAGTCCTCACACTGGCTGAGGGGACACACGTGTGAGATGCCTGATCCACCTGCAGCTATAGGGGGGGTTGAATTTCCATGGCAACAGAATCCAGGACCAGAAATTGTGAGCACAAATTACAGTGACTTGGATTTCATTTCAATAGAGGGAAAAGCTTCCGGGTAGTAAATTTCTGTGCGACAGCAACTATAAAAATCGTGGCTTCTCCCCCTCTGTGTGGCTTTGAGAAGTTGGGCAGCAACTTCCTAAGGTTGAAACGTTCAGTGGCTTCCTCCCTGCAGTCGAGTGGGGGTCCTGCATTGCCCGCTGTCCTGGCAAAGGGCTCACGGCCATCAGCCAACCTGCTGGCCCCTGAAACCAAACTGCCCCCCGCCTGAAAGTCCGGTAGGAAGAGAGATGCTTTTGGTCTCTGGGGGCACCAGACCTGCCCTCAGCCATTAGCCAGAGCAGGCCAGGGAAATGCTCTGCCCCGCCCCTCCCCGTTACCCTCCCCAGTCGGCTGGCCCTGGGGTGGAGGCCTGCACTCAGCAGAGGCGAGTACCTGGGCGGAGAAGCCGGAGAAGAAGCCGAACCAGAAGTGCACCAGCGTGAACGCAAAGTTTTTGTAGAAGAAGTAAGACAAGAACTTGCACATGCGGATGTACGACCACCGGCCGTGGACCAGCAGTAGCCGCTGTAGGTAGCGGAACTGGGCGAAGGAGAAGTCGCTGGACATCACCGCCTGCATCCCCTCCTGGCCACTGATGCCGACGCCAATGTGGGCAGCTAGAAGACCAAACAGGAAGGCCCTCAGCAGGGAGTGGGACCCGGGGAAACTGGTGGGCATTTTATCCACTTGTCCCACGGCTACTGCGCTTGGCCTCCCGAGGCCAGAGAAACGGGGCACAGGAAGAACAGGAAGGCCCAGGCAGAGAGGGATTTGCCACTGGCCCTCAAAGGAGTGCAAGGGGCTTGTCCACGCCCAAGGCTCTGCTGGGCCTCCGAGAGCGAGAGAGCTGCCACGGGAGCCACAGCCACCCTGCAGGATTGGCTTTCCGTTCCCTGCCCGCTTGGCCTGGCTTCTCCGAGTCCCTCTGCTTCTGCAGCTTCTCCCCGGGGCCTGGCCAAGGGCTGAGCCACCTGCCACACTCACTTTTGATCATGCCGACATCGTTGGCGCCATCTCCGATGGCCAGGGTGACGGCGTTCCTGTACTTCTTCACCAGGTCCACCACTTGGGCCTTCTGCAGCGGAGTCACCCGGCAGCAGATCACCGTTTTGCACAGGCAGGCTGTGTCCACCAGCAGTTCCGCCAGCTCCCCCTCCAGTGCGTAGGCCTGCCAGGGTCACAGAGCATGCAAGGGAGGGTGGCCCTCCTCCCAAGGCTGGAGTGCAAAACACCCAGGAAAAGGCCAGCGGTCTGGCATGAGTGAGGTGACCAGCCCCTTGCCTGTCCTGAACTGGCACTTACTATCTTTCTTGCGTACTTACTAAACCGATTCATATGGCTGCCCTCTTCACGGCATTAGCAAACCATTAAAAACCTTCAGTGGTTGCCAAAACCAAACTCCGCAACCCCCCTCCCCCCCAGCGGTAGTATCCCGCCTGGAGCACATCCAGGGCCTTGGTCCCATGTGACTGGCAGGATTGGGACCAGCCTGGCCTCAGGAAGGGGCCTGGCATTCCTTCGCCTTCGTTAGCCAAGGGCCAGGAGGGCTGCAGGGCCCCTGTTTGCCCCCCGGCCGTTGCAGCCTCAGGCGCCCCCGTACCAAGCTGTGCCCGTTAATGATCAGGCCGTAGTCTCCGCTGGCAGGCTCCTTGTTCCAGAAGCCGGAGGAGGTTGACCTCCTGATGTTCAAATCTTCTGGCCTCGCATCGAGGTCTGCTTGCATCCTATCCTTGGCTATCCTGAAAGAGAAGCAACACGGTGAACTCTGTGGACACGAAGTGAGAAGGGGGGGGGTCCTGCCCACGCAGGGTGGCCCTTGATGCTCCTGTGGATGAGGCCAAGAGGATGAGACCCCAGAACTGACCGTGTGCCCTTGCCAGGCTGGGGGGGTGGGGACGGGGGACGACGGGGCCACCAGGCACACTTATTTGCCGTCAGAGCCCCACCAGCCCCCTGACCCGACCAGTGCCTGGTTCCTGCCTCAACCATGTCCCCACTGAGCTGCGAATGGAGCCGCTGCCGCTGCCTTGATGGTCCATTCTTGTTCCTAGCCTTATTATTATTGCCTAAGCCACCAAATGGCCCCAGGCCAGAGGACCCCGTGAGGAAGAGGTCTGAAAGAGCCTTCCAATTGAGAAGC